TATAGGATTATATTACATTTGCTTGCCTTTAATGTTGTTCTTATTAATTTTTTCTTTTGTTTTGTTTTGTTTTTGTTTTTGGTTTTGTTGTTTGTTGTTGTTTAGTTATATTCTGTTTTGTTTTTGTTTTGTTTTGTTTTTGTTCATTTACTTTTCATTTATATATTTATATTAATATTGTATATATTTTGATAAAGATCGATTAGACATTTCGAGCATGGGTAAGCAGGCTGTAGGGCTACAGTGTTTAAGTACACTTTTGCTTACCCTGGCCGGTTTGGAACGTTTTATTGTCTTTGTTTTCTGTCCCTCTATCTCCTCTCTCCTGTCAAACTGTCCAGCCCCCCCCCCCCCCCCCCCCCCCCCCCCCCCCCCCCCCCCGCCCATTCCTTTTCGCATCCTTCAGTCACGTCAGTCTCGTCTAGTCATAATTTTCTTTTAACGTTATTGATTCCTTTTCAAATTTCAGTTTTTGGTGACTTGTATTATATGTATAAATGCTTTGTTATTTTACTTGTTTCACTTGTTGGCCGAATAAATAATAATAATAATAATAATAATAATACGCACATTTATGAACACATAGAACTAAAAGCCATTTAGAATGTTCCTTTGAACTTATTGGGTCAATTTACAATATATTTACACTTACTTGCTTGACAAGGTAACAAATTTTGTGTAACAATTTAAACACATAATTTTTTTAACTAATCTGCAAGGCAGGTATGATATCCTGTTTGTGTTTAAAATGATCAAAAGTAAACATTATCAAAGGAAATTATATTTCACAATGAGAATTAAAGAACGCAATTTTCCAATCCGATTTACATTATTTGCACATATCCATACATGTTTATTCTTAGAAAAGTTATCAATACATAGGCCTAGTGTTTCCTGTGTTAAATATGTTTATAAAACATTTGTGAATTATAGTGAAACTAATTTTAGATACCAATAATTACATGCAGCAGAGCAGGTTTTTCTATTTACATATGTGTACATTGACAAAAGCTTGAAATTGTACAAAGACTTACATGTACAGCCTATTACAGCAAGGTATATTATTTAAATGTTTAAGCAGCATAATTGTCCACATTAAAGGGAATATACATCATTGGCTTTTGCTGTAATTTTCAGAAATGAACTATTTGAGGGGTTAGTATCATAGATCAAATATTGTTACACTGACATGTTTGAAGTTTTGTGTTCGAAAATGCTGGAAAAACCAAGAAAAACAAAAATGTTCAAGTAGTCTGGTTCCCTGACTCCACTAAATATAAAATGGATCAATTTACAGATGCCGGAAAATTGTAAGGTAAGGGAACCAGTCTACACATGTAGCTGGCCTGCACCCGTTCATGAACATGTAACCAATACCAAACAAATTTTCGACTGAAAAAAAAAATGGTAAATTTGGAGCAGTAGTTGAAAAATAGTTAGGTTTTTCCAACGGTGGTCGGCCGACCACTGTCAGGGTGACTGTTGGATTTTTTTACAAAAATACCATTTTCTTGAAAATGACTTTACACCAGGTGCCATAATGTTACAGGATGCTTTAAACTGTCATTTTCCAACATCCTAGTAAGGTATTTCGTAAAAATTTGGCAGTTTTATTTTTCGATGTTTGCAAATGTTGTATATTCCCTTTAAGCCATAAAATCCACACGAATGCTCAAAATAGTTTGTAGGGTTTCATCTCACAAATTCTATTAAAAGTTTTAGTAGCATCTCCACCATGCAAAGCCTCTAATCTTACTTAAATGTTTGAAGTGAAGGGGAAGTTGATAAATATGGCTGGAAGTTCACACCAAGTGGATCCTCCATACTCATAAATATGTTGATGACATTCTGATAGACCTGTCTAATTATCTTGGCAAAAAAACAATTCCAGGGTAAGTCCGAAAGTTATAAAACTGGAATGTTTTTGATAGAAGTTCATCTAGAGGAGGCATTTCAAAGCCAATGGTCAGCGAAGTTACAATATTTCTTTTCAATTTTGAAATAAGTCAAAATCAATGTTATGGCAGATTTTCACTTGGACTAAGTGATCTAGTTTTCATATCAACAAACTGTGTTAACAGGTGGCACAGGACTGGTCCCAGCCCCTACATGTATAATTCCTACTGTTAATGAAGCACAGCCCTAGAATTGGATATATCTTGAATTTTTAATTTCTCCACCTCAGCAGTAATTCTAACACCTAATTACACTCTGTACTTAAAGTCAAAGATTTTTGTCCTGAATGCAAAGTTGAATAATCCAATGGATTAGTTGCAATCAAAGCCAAGCAGGAATATCAGTCAGTAATACAATGAGACTGTCTAAATTACAATTCTAATTTAATGGAAAATTCTAATGTAAATTTTAGAAGCAATTCAAGTTCTGACAGGACAGTCACTTCATGTGTAACAGCTAATCTCTCAACAAAAAGAAGGTGCATCTGAATTTCAAAATACATTTACACAGAGCTTGAATCGCTCTTTCAAAATTCTCAAATTAAATAAATTGTCCCAGCATGATGCATTCAACAAAATGGCTGGACAAAAACTACGAATAGGTTTTGTTTCGTTGTTAGGTTTTTATGTTAGAATTTTGTTTTGTTCTGATTTTTGTTTTCAGTTGAAATTGACTTGTGGTTTAAAAATTTCCAAAAACGAACATCCAAGTCTCCAACACAATGTAACACATAAGAGATACACCAACTCTCCATACTTACTACAACCTAATGCACAATAACAACTACACTGTATGAATAGGTTTTGTTTCGTTGTTAGGTTTTATTTAAGAGTTTTGTGTTGTTTTGTTTTAATTGTGTTCTGATTTTTGTTTTCAGGTGAAAAAGACTTCTGATTTAAAAGTCCTAAATATGAACACTCCAAGTCTCCAACATAATCTAACACCTATACACCAACTCTCCATACTTACTACAACCTCATGCATAATAAAAGCTTGAAAGTCCGGCACTGATATTATTCATTGAATAATATTGATATTTATTCAACACATTTAGTGCTGTGTCACTTGCTGCATGTACTTCCTATCTCATTCTACCTAATGTATTACAGTTACACACAGTCTGTTGTGCTACAAATGCCTAACTTTTCATCAGAATAACACTAACATATTTTGCCTAACTCTGTGTACATGTACCAACTTTTAGTAGGCCTTTTTACTGCCATTTTTTGTTTGGTGTCTACTTCTAGTTACTGCCCATGCAAGCAAGTTTGGTTGTAACATGTAAATTTATACAAGTAGAAAAGTAAATAGGTAGCTTGATCAAAACTACCTTGCCTAACTTTTATTCACTTGACTAATGCAATCTAGTGTTGTGCAAACCTGACCCGAAACCGAAAGCGATCCAACCCGAAACCGACTTTAGGTCGGGTTGTGTCGGGTTGGTTTTTCCATCATTTCAGTCGGGTCGGGTTGGTTTCGATTTTGCGTAAATGCGATTTTTGGGTCGGGTCGGGTCAGTTGAGCTATTTTTAAAAAACCCAAAATATCTTAAACCAAAGCCCACCCCCCCCCCCAAACAGTTTGCAATTCACACAGTGCAATATTCATTGCAGAGTCACTGTGCCCAGTACGACCAAATGTGGTTTGAGGTCTATCCCGCATGGTCTACAACATGTAGGCCCACCAGTAGGTCACGTTGTGAGTACCCCTGATTCAGTTACTGATAGATGACGATTTTCACACGACGCGGGTAAGTTCAGGCACAAAAAGTAGACACAGTTGCCCAAGCCAGATATTTGGGGGTTTTGGGGTCACAATTTGGTTTCAAGTTGGTTTTTCTTGAATTTGTGTCGGGTCGGGTCAGTTTTAGGGAGTTCAGATTGGTTTCGGTTCTGATTCAATTTATATTTATGTTTTGGGTCGGTTTCTCACAGCAAGGCACAACAAGCAGAATATGCCTAACCTTTCTATCTTGTGAGGAGCAACGATAGAATGCCTAACTTTGGACAAACCTGTATGCACAACGAATTGGGTTTTGAGGTATTCTATTCTTAGGTTCATATTTATCCAATCTGTTTGTTTATGTTAACTGTTATGGCATAAGACAAATTCTATCAATACTCAGATTAATATCTCATATTTTACTGAGTGCCATGCTCATTTGCATGTCACAAGCATTCTCTATTTGAGGTGCGCGTGTAATTTGAAAACCCTATTGGTGCAAGGAGCACTGGTCATGTGTGTACCAATTGTGCGTGAGCATAGTACCACCTCACGCAATGGCATCTAATTTTGGTTGTTGGTTCAGTCTAAAGACAAATCCGGTAAATAACAACAACAAAAAAGAAGATGCTGTTTACAAAAACTTGATGTTTGACCATGATGTATGTTTGACTGATCCCCTCTCTACACACCATGCCAGTCTGGGGCAATATACCATGAAAAGTTAGTGGCAGTTGCAAGGGAATAGTTTTTCATGACCACTTGCAACATTGTACAATATAATATGGTTTGAGGGTGGTATTGGAAGTTATTGGAAGTTACTGGAAGTTGACAAACTAGTTCCCAAGGCAAAGCCGATGGAAGTACATGTAGTTTGTCAACTTCAGATACCAAGGTGAGCTAATCTAGGACTATCCACCCAAAATAAACCATGTTATATTTGTTTCACTAAACCTCACACATCTTCACCGAAATTGTCGATAGTCAAGTGCATGTTCATTTACCCTGTGCGTGAATCCTTGCATTCGCACCATAGACATATAATAAAACCTAGACACGACATTTGCTATTGCGCCTGTGAGCAAAATGCTGCGCGTATAGAATAACTAAGAAGTATGCGCGTAAATCGAAGCCATATGCATGACATTCGCGCGTCGCGTAATTAAGCCACATGACGCAGCCCGTTTTGCTCACAGAATTCACAACGTAAAAGCAGATAATGTCGTGACAGTGAATGGACCAGTAAGAATTCGACTCTCGCTCGTGAATATGTATTGAGATAGAGTAAATATGTAAAAGAAAGCACGCTTCATGCTACTTACCACGTATCCCACCACCAATGCTCCTTGCCTGCTATCTCACTGTAGGTTGTGTTCACATCTGCTTCTTTCAGAAGTCGAACCATTCGCCTGAAAGGAATTTTTGAATTTTCAAATTTATATTTTACTGTAGGGCTACAGTGCTTGTACGCTTAAGAAAAAAAGCTTAGATTCATGACCAGAACGAATTGAAATACGTAAATAACCTAATAAATAACATGCCATTACCTTACAAAGTATGGATGCACCGTTCGATCCTGTGCACCAATTCTTGCCAGAACTGGAATTCCCTGACGAAAGAAAAGAATTAAGTTGTCAAGTGAGAATTATGCTCTTTGAGTGGTGATGTACCATGGCCTCATGGCATGGAGCATTGAACCGTGCGTGCGTGTGTTCTTGGGCATACACTTGTCAGTAATTGCCTGTCCCTAACCCAAGCGTTACATGGTTACCTGCAAGAACTAGAGCAAGAGTGTTTGAATTAGCTCTGAAACAAAATGGAAGTATGGAACTGTATATGCCCCAGGGAGCTGTGATGTGGCTTTTTGAATGATTTGCAAGACCAGATGAGCAGGGGTACCGGTAATCTTGGCCGAAGACGTCAGTGATCAACAGTGATAGTTGCAATGTTCTGTAGCGCCCTTGCATAATTGATTTTTTACGTTCTCTCACTAACGTCTTGGTCATTTCGTAGCAATGGGGGCGTGGCCATTTTATGTAAATTGGCCCGTCTGTATGAATTTGAACAAAACGGCAGTTCCCATTTGCCACAGTAGTCCCGCCTTCGCACCCTTATCACTGCCTCGCGAATGTTTACACCCGTTGGGCGAGCCATCGAACCATTCCTCAATCGCTGATTGGTTCCCATTTCGTAGCAATGGGGGCGTGGCCATTTTATGTAAATTGGACCGTCTGTATGAATTTGAACAAAACGGCAGTTCCCATTTGCCACAGTAGTCCCGCCTTCGCACCCTTATCACTGCCTCGCGAATGTTTACACCCGTCGGGCGAGCCATCGAACCATTTCTCAATCGCTGATTGGTTCCCTAGGAAAGCCATATGATATGCTGGGTCACCGTCACCGTATGTACATGTATATAGCCCATACAACTGTTGGGCGAGCCTTTGAACTATTTCTCAATCGCTGATTGGTTCCCTAGGAAAGCGATATGATATGCTGGGTCACCGTCACCGTACGTACATGTATAAAGCCTGTATGTTTACAACCGTTGGGAGAGCCTTTGAACTATTTCTCGATCGCCGATTGGTTCCGTAGGAAAGCCTACAGAGAAAATAAAGAAAAAGTTGAACCGCTGATACGAAATGGCCAAGACGTTAGTGCGAGTAGGCCCGGTGGTCTAATTGTTGTGCCATTAGAAGGCGCACTATGCACCATCCACTATCGCTCACTAGCATCTTGGGCCAAGACTAGGGTACCGGTAGTTTCATCATCAATATCATATCAATATCATATGTCCTCTTTATCAATTCACTTTATCAAGTTTGTAAGTCTACTGATGTTACAGTCGAGTCTTCCTCATTTCCAGATGAGGATGAGAAGGGCCCAGTCTCTCTGAACAATTTTAGAAAACCCATTATTGATTCAATCTCTGGTCTGGTTGAAACATTGACACAAGGTAGTTTCCAACAAAACCAATGACTCAAATGCAGCACATGCATCCAACTACATGCCATTCTTTGCAAAAATTCAAAACACAGTCCTACCTTCAGATTAGAAGCATGTTTGTCTGCATCATTTTCGGCAACACAAGCCTGCAATGGAGACAAAAAGACTACATCACAAATGTGTTATGGTTATATTTTCCCATTCAACTATAATAAATAGTAGAATATTTCCAAATGTGTCCTGGATACTGACATTTGGAGAGTATGTGCATGACTGTAGAACATACAAGATGGAATGTAATTTGAACGATGAGCTCTAAATGCAAAACGAGATTACAACAAACACCAGTGCACAATGAACACAGAATTATAGGCATGGTGAGAAAACGTAGAAGCGTATTCTGTGCATTGTATGCACCGAGCAAAATGAAATGCTCATTTACTGATTATGTGTATCGGTTATGGGCGTATCAGCTTCATTTATGCATCAGTTTCTAAAGCAAAAGCACATATGCAAATAGATGAACAAAACCTGTACAAAGTTTTGAGTTTTCCATAGGTTTGTTTATGTACACAAACATGAAGCAACAGGCTTACTTTGTACATTGTGTACAACGAGTTAGCTCTTGAGTAATTTAATACATCAATGTTTGTTCCACAAAGGTTTAAATCTTCGTTAATCCAAACAGAATACACAAGGCATACTGATGTATCAGCTGGAATATTGTCTTATTTTAACTATACAGGGTGAGTAAAAAAAACGAAACCCATATGTCGTCACCATTGTTTTAGTGAAGTTCTGCAGGTAGCACTTTCAAAATCTAGGATATGAAAGCCAAATTCATCAGCTTTCTTTTAGTACAAGAATCATTCAAATCACTCATGTACTTTTCAAGTTACGGAATTTTAAACGCAACCACCGTTCTGTCCACAGATCACAAGAAGTAAGAAGCAAAAACGAAAACAAATCACATAGGGATGTAGGTGAATTGTTTTCATTTTGCTGAATAACACATTTTTTTGTGAGCCGTGGACAGAACTTTAAAGAGGTGATGGTGTTTTTTGTACAAAAGTGATTTAAATGATTCTTGTACTAAAAGAAAGCTTATGAATTGGGCTTTCATATCCTAGATTAAAAGAAAGCTTATAAATTGGGCTTTCATATCCCAGATTAAAGTGCTACATGTAGAACTTCACTAAAACAATAGTCCCAATATTTGGGTTTCACTTTTTTTGACTGACCCTGTGCAGGTATGCATCACTATAATACATTATCTAGCCTGGATTTAAGTTTTGTTGGTTCAGCACTCACAAACAGCTTGACACTATTATCAAGTTTCAGAAACAATTTTGTTCCTTTTTTTTAATAACACCTTGCCATTTAAAATGCATATCCAATTCCTGCAAAAATATTAAAATACTGAGAAAAATACCTCCATAATTGCTTTGATGGCAGGATCTGTATAGCTTGTACTCAAATCATGCCTAGAAATAAAAGAAAAAAGTCGAGAGCGAATTACAAGTGCTACATTCCATGTCAAGTTTATCAAACAAAGGAACACAACTGCTACAACATCACTTAGTACTGTTCAATATGCAGTAATCATCATGACATGCACAATAAGCCAGTTCGGTATTTCAGCTGCGCATGCATGCGCACAATGATGTGGGTCACAGGTCAATCGGGTTTTATATCAAAGAATTTATATCATCGAAGGCGCATGAATGCGCTAGAAGACGGTCGCCCGACGCTCATGCATTAATTACATGCAAGAATGGTCATTCGCATAACATCACGTCAGCGATTTTATCCCAAATGACCTTTGACCTGGACTACTTCATTGAGAAACTGAACTTGCTTATTGAATAATAGAGAAGTTTTGCAACTGAGGATACTGTTAGTACACCGAGTACATAATCAGTTTGCGTGGTCTTGTGACGTCATATACGCAAATTGCTATCCGCTAGGTGTATACACCATATGTACACGGCACGGTTATACATCGCCAGCTACGCATCTGTGGAAAATGCATGGTGAATGGTCCAATTCCAGCCTCTTTTCTGATAAATAATTTAAAGCTATAGTCCATCATTTGTAATTTGTGCATTTTGTTCGTTTGAAGCAACAAAAGGGTTCAAAATCTAATGAAGGATACTGAACAACTAACCTGATGAAGTTTCAGCTAAGCTTCAGCTGTACATTCCGAGAAAAACAGCATTCTAATAAGATCTCAATATGAAATCAAAAGTTACTGAATCATGTTTTGAATTGCAGCTATACGCGACGTAGCGCACTGATCCGACGAATTATAACAACCGCGCGCGTGTGTGCGTCATTCCAATACTTGTGCGCGCTGTGCTGAATAACAAAACAAACTACTAATTTAAATTTTCCTACGGTGCTTCTTAAGAATTACCGTTGGAAATGCCTTCTTTCGTTGATTACTTCAAAATGACAGCTTCCCAGAAGGAATAATTTCACAGGGAGTTTAGTTCCCTTACTATCTTTCAACCAAGTTGTTTTTCAACAATAATTACGCCAGTTACTTTTCGGATGGCTGCAAATGATGGACTATAGCTTTAACCATGTATGATTTGAATGAAAGAGGATGAATTACTGAACATAGATGTACCATTTGGGGGCGGATTGCAATAACTGGTCTTAAAGCTGTCAATGCGCACTAGACAGTGTTAAAGCTCTGGATGTCAGTCGGTGTCGTTCAAATGACGTCATGTCCTACAGACCAGCCACGTGCATCGGCATTTTGAGCGTCAACTTGTATAACGCGCATCGGCTGCGTCGTATTTCGAACACATTTCGAGCAACAAGCGCACGTGTTTGGAACATTTTCAACTCTGCGCAAATGCGTGCTTGATTGCGTAAAATACGCAGTTGCAGTTCTCCTACAGAGACAGCCATCATTGAGCGAGCCCTATAAGTAAGACCATTGCAATGACACGGTCTAAATGTTAAGAGAGACTTAAAATAGTTAGCCTGGGTTGGGCTGGCTTAAAACAGTCTATAGTTGGGATTTGTTGAATTATTCTTTCCCACAAAGTTTTTTTCTTCAGTTGATGAGTGTTTAATAATCTTAACATAGCAGAATACTTCTTGGAAGGAGGATTTTCCAGGATAGAAAGCATCTTCTAGAAAAATGTAATGACACTGAGTTGTGTTGCAATTTCAAAAACAATTTTCTCAACATAAAGTCTCGGAATTGACAGATTTGATTTTGCATGATTTGAATCACATAAACCGCAAAAATCGTGCAGTCTCCCTGGTATTTGCCCATAACCATGGAATGTTTGTGAATCGTTACTCTAAGCAGGCTTAGCTTATTGCAATGTGTTATGTTTGGTGTCTTAACCAAGACCGTCTTAGAGCAATAGCCGGCTTAAATCTGACTGGTTTAGCCAGCCGACTAAGACCGCGTTATTGCAATCTGCCCCAGGAGCCAACCTTGCGGTACTACTTCCCTAAGGCTACCAACCAGCTGGCAGTCGACATTGTTGCGCACCCGGTGTCTACTTTTCTTTGACCAATGAAAAAAGCGCATTTGACCTATAAATATGTATGAGGTGTAACAAAAACCAACCTATGTATCATATCATCAACATGCTCTTCAGAATTTACCGAAAAAACAAATTGCTGTCACCGTATTCCTCCTTTTTGATCCAGCCAGCCAATGAGATGACAGCGAGGGCCCGGTCAGGGTAGTGGGTTGCTAGATGCCACGCTCCGTGACCTCCCATTGAGTGACCTGCAAAGATGACACGTTGGGCATCGGCCTTGTTCGGTATCCAAGCGGAGTCTTGGGTCAACTGTATAATGACAGGAGAAAAGCCAGATCCTACAAAGTGAGTCCTATGTATTTTTTCACTTTGTGTGAAGGGAATAAATAAGTCTGTTTAAGACCAGTTTGGGGAGTGGACGCGGAAAATGGACCGAGCCAAACGGCGACCAGGCCCCTGAGCCGGTCTCAAACGGACTTGTTTAATACTAGCCAAGCACATATTTATTTCCATTCATGAATACCTTTTTGGTAAAAAGTCAAAACAAGTCAAACATATCATTTCCAACAATTGTGTTCATAGTTTCACTCCATGTTTTTCGAAACACCTCTAGCTACGCTAAGGTATGTACCTCTCCCAAGTACATGTAGTCATAAACAGCTCCTAGGCCTGTTATGGAGAATGGTGCATGTGGCGCGTACTACGCAATGTGGCGCAGAAAGCGAAGGTGCCGGTGTAGTGTGAATTTAGGGCTCTCGAAATATGGACTCATTGGTAGTATTGCACATGCCCAAGGGAAGATTGTGAACATTCAACCAATAAAAAGGTAAAAGAGACCAGACTTCATAGGAGTCCAGATTCATGTGACACCGGAAAAGTTAAACCAGCTAGCCGGTGTTTTATCAAACATTGAATAAGATACGGCGATACGACAGGCTCTCAACAAATAGGAAAGGGTTACTTGTCCTCGGTATTTATGAACATGTCCTCGGTATTTATGAACATGCATTTAAGGAACATCAACATTTTGGTATTTTCATCAAAGTGACATCTCAGTGATGAAAATATATGGACTTTCTTGTGAGAGGAAAAGTTGACATTTCTATTTGATTCCCAATGTGCAAAGATTGACTGCAAGTGCTTGTATCTTCAAAGTATTTGAAGTTGGGTCGGGTTTAGGATTATGAATCCTTATCCATAAATCTGCATCAGAAGATTTTACTAAGTTCTTTTTTTTTTAAATTCCAACTCCTGATCAGCATTTATATTTCTGAGAGCCATTCTAAATCCTCCCATCCAACATCTGTGGGCAAACACAAATGGCACATTCTTTGTCAGTTACAGGACAGTCATGTAGGCCGGCCCTTTATATACAACAAGAAATACATCAATGAAACTGCACCAATTATAAAACCCGAGGTTGCAACCAGAAAACACCTTTGGACGAGCCTCACCTTTTGCAAGATCTCCAATGCTGTCATCGCTGTTAGAGCTCCTGGTCCCTCCCAGTTGTGAGCACCATGCCTGGTGATGAACAGTCAAAGCATAAATGTTTACATTCCATACCAGTAGCTAGTGTGGACATTCCTTTGTTTTTCATGTAGTTATGAAAAACCTGTCAAAAAACTCATTTTACTCACACTGTGAAAACTCTTTCAACCCAATTTTATTACTAAGATTCCCTAACCCCAAAATGACTCCAAATCTGTTTCCAGAGAGGGGGAAACCTTGTGTGGACCAGGGCAGGGAAACCTGGTTTATGTGGACATCTTTGTTTGGAAGTACACACAGTGAATGCAATACTTGTACAATCAACACACTGTGATCGTTATTAGTAAAGTGGCATCACACTCTAGCACATGTACCGCACGTTTTTAATTTGAGGCATGCAATTATTTGAAAAATGTGTTGGTCGAAGGAGTAACGTGAGTGTGCGGGTGCATACCATGTACACATGATCATGGTGCGACCTCCACAATGGCTTCTAATTTGGAATGTCAGATAAGTCATTTGACACCATGCACTATCAGTGGACTTCCCTTTGTGACTACTTTTGAAAGCTCAGTGGCAGGAACACACCACATGCACACCCACTCTTGTTTTACTATACTCCCAAGGACAATGCTTTGTGTTTCCCTTTGTCCCAGTAATAAAACACTTTCACATAGACTAATACAAGCACACAACCTACTACAGAGGACCGTTGTGAACAAAAGACCCAACACCCGAGGACTGAAAGGATTTGTTTGTTCTCCTTTTGTGTGTCGGTCCTCGGGAGTTATGTAGAACACGTACACCAAGTGTGTATTTGCCTGCAATCGGCGACCCCCTATTGTCCCTCTTTTGTCTGTACATTAACTTTTTAGGAAGACCTCACATATGTTTTGTACACGATCGTGCCAAATTGGGGACCTTCAGGAATTGGGGACCCTATTTTCCTCTATCGTTCATCGTCCCCTATTGAATGCAGAAACAAACTCATACTGGTTTGTGTGTGTATGTCGTGAAGCACGCACAACTTTCCTGTTGTAACCGTTGAGGGGGTACTTTTGCACCGACCCTGGCCAACAAATCTATTTCTTCCAGGACCCTTCCTGATTCTGTGGGCTCCACCCAAAAATTGGGGGTTTCTCTCACTCTTCTAAAAATACAATTTTTTTTCATCGCCCTCCACAATTTTTATCAGACTTCTGAGCTACAGTGCATTGGGATTTTCAAAGTACACTTAATATCATAACCATAGACAAATAATAATTACTGAGAAACTATTCTTCTTAAACCTTCACAAGCATGACAAGAGGACTTCTTTCCTTACCTAGTGGGTGCTAAAACCCATGCTGTTTCCAGTCCAAAGATCCATCTACCATCTTGCATTCTTTTATACCCATCAGCTTGATTTTGAGCACCAACTCCTACAACGTAAAAAAAAAAGACCATTTACAGATCAGCAGCCAAATCCATGCAGTTGTTGGGGTATGGATTTCGATTCAGGGTGGTTAGGGTTAATGGTGCTCAGTCATTAATGAATGCAGGGATGAGAGTATATATTAAGGTATTATAATAGAAAGCTGCTTAGACTACATTTTATGATGCCACATTGACAGAGTTCAAGGTCATAACCTTGATCAAACCCTGCAATTGTTTGTGGATTACTTTTGGTGGCTTATGCACTTATCAGAAGAGCATTTCTAGGATACAAGTTACATTCTACGATACATATATTAGAATCTGAATGGCCTCATGATCTGAGAAAAATATTACCTGTGCCATGAAGACTTATTAACACCTGTACGAAGAAAAAAATATTTAAAAAATGTTAGGTCTTGGTATTTTACACCACAATTATTTGGGCATTTCAATACTCATTCAGTTGATTTTGGTTAAGACCAGAGCTGTAATGCCTCCAACTCATGACTTGACGCGAGTCAACTCAACTTGTAATTTTTAGTGACTCAACTCACCACGAGTCATTAACAGCAATTGACTAAACTTGACTCAAGTCACTCACTGCAAGGAAATGCTTGTCAGCTCTGGATTGTATTAACTACTTGACATACTATGAAATACTTGTCAGACCAAAGCTGAAATATAACTCTGTAAGCGTCAAGCTCGGCAATCTCACAGAGCAAATCGCAGGATTAACTGAAGGAAGTTGACCACAAAGTTGACAAGTGGCCTCACATTGTATTGTGAATCACTCTGACTTTGAAAACAGTCTACATGTATGTGTGATTTTAGCACAGTTTGAACAAAGCATGTCATGAATACAGATCAAAATCTCATATTATTGTCAGCATCTTACCGGGCAAACATTATTAGGGCAATCCTCTAACGGTTGAATGGCAGCAGCAAGCTGGACCTACACATACACATAATATTAAACATAAACAGTCATTAAACATAAAAAGAATGTTAAACATAACAAACAGTTCCATGATATAAGCTAATGATTGCATTATCTGCTCCTATATCAGATTTAAACCAGCCAGCACAATCTGGCAAGCTCACTGTTTGAGTGTTGAAAGTCTGCACTAGTAAGCAGGAGGTGGTGGGTTCAAGTTGCACCCAACCAAACTTGTGATTTTTTTTCTAACAAGCTCCAAACAGCACTCAGTATAAATATACTATTCTGAGCATGCTAGTACACTGTAAATGGATGGAGGCCCCCTTCAATGGTGGAAGTATTGTTCAAGCTATGATACATGTTTAGAAAAACTGCACTATGATGGATTATCTAAAGAATAGCTGTCACAGTGCTCGCGCGCTGAAAGAGGTCTCCGTAAGTATACAGCTCAATGAACATGAATACCGTGCTCGGAATTGTCTGTGCACATTTTCTATAAATTACATCAGTGAAGGATACATGCCAAGCCCAATATTTAAAATCACGAAGGCAGGTTCTTCAAACACTGCAACCTCACCAAATAGCACAAAGTCTATTTGACTGAACAGATGTAGAAACTTCCAGGCTGGCATATTCGTGCTTTTGTAAATTACCATAGTAAGACCATTATCACCAAAAAAAAATAAATTTAAAAAAAATATTGCATTCAAATCAAGCAAATACATGTACACCTCCTTCAACGAGAAACATTTACCCAAATGTCAACATACATGTTACAAAGATGAGGCCCAAAGATAAGGAAGAAGTTCTTGGTCAAAACGCTGAGGTTCAAAAGAACATTTTGTGGGGTGAAGATAAAAAGTAAACAGTGACTTGGATGGTATATACCGTATATGTACAACTCTATCTGCCAATCAATAAACCTACTGAGCCATCGTGATCAAGGAAAGTGAAGAGAAAGGACTCTCCCGCTTTGCGACACCTCAATGTAACAGTCAACTGCTTGGAGCCACTTCCCTGTGAAGTTACCTCCAGAACAAATCTACAAATGTAGAAAATTATAAAAATGACATTAAGCCTAAAAGGGCAGGGGGAGGGGGAGACGAATCATAAAATCTAAAAATAGCATTTCGTACAAAATGATAAATTCTCAGAGAACTGAAAAATGCTTTTTCTATTAAAGTCCATTCGCAGATGGAAGTGCGGAATGTTTATGACCCATAATTTCAAAAGGGTTTGTCTGATTACAGAAGCTGATGTCTTTACTAGAACATCATATTTCACAAAAATCGGAAGTTGCATACCTGAATGGATCTTTCCTGAGTGTGATCTTTCCTTATATATGGGTCTTAAGTTCCAAATAAACAATTGGCATGGGACAGTATGAGGGCAACATAGGACTGGAATTAGGTGGCATGGGGTGGCAATGGGGCAGCGTGGCATGGTATGGGGTTGTATGGTATGATATGGGGTTGTATGGTATGATATGGGGTGGCATTAAAGGTATAGTCAATCAATTGTAATTTCTGCATTTTGTTCGTTTGAAGCAACAAAAGTGCTCAAAATCTAAAGAAGGGTGCTGAACAACTAAACTGATGAAGTTTCAGCTCAGCTTCAGTTGTATATTCTGAGAAAAACAGCATTCTAGGATCTCGATTTCAAATCAAAAGTTGCTGAATCAATTGTTTTAATTGGGCTTGAATTCAGCGTCCGAGACATGTTCTCTCTGAGCTGATTGCAGCTACGCGATGTCGCGCACCAGTCCGACGAATTATAGCAACCGCACGCGCGTGTGCGTAGTGCCAAAGCTTGCGCGCTTCGCCGAATAAAAACTTCCAACGGTGCGTCTTAAGATGCACCGTTGGAAAGGCCTTTTTTCGTTGATTTCTTCAAAATGACAGCTTGCCAGAAAGAATCAATTCACAGGGAGTTTAGTCCCTTTACTATCCTTCAACCAAGTGTGTCTTTCAACAATTATTACGTCAGTTACTTTTTGAATAGCTGCAAATGATGGACTATAGCTTTAAGACAGCATGGAGTGGCACTTGGACGGAATGGGTGGCATGCATTGTGCGGCTAAAGGGGGTATGGTGACCACAAATTCGTAGCCTTGTGGAGACTCACACACAATAGTGAACAAAACATTGTAAAGGTCTCCACGGGGCAATTTCTATAGATGAATAGGTCTCCACAAGGTTTTCACGAAATAGATATATGGGTTTTACTCAAAAACTAGGAATGTCCAAGGTGGGTTGATCTGTCGCAAATGGAAGAGTTTTAGAAAAGGGATATTAATTCCAAATTTCAGCCAAGGAAACTAATTCTGGTTAAAATAAGAGCATTTTGAACTTTCACTTTCAAAATTGAACACTTTACTACACGAGAACAAAGAAATGTCTCCACAAGGATACAAATTTTGGAATGGGTGTGGCATTGTGTGCATGGGGCGGTATCGGGTGGCATGGGCTGGCATGGGATGGAATGGTATTGGGTGGCATGGGACAGCATTTGGGGGCAGCGGTTGGGCATGAGGGGGCATAAGGGGGAATGTGGTGGCATGGTACATGTACATGAACCATGAATGTCATGAAGGTAACAAGCGGTGGCATGGAGGGGCGAGGGGGCATTGGAGCGTCATGAGGATGGCTTGGGATGGCATTAGGGTAGCATGGGATGGCACAGGGTTAACATATTGCAAGTTTGCATCTAACATGTGATTGATTCATGGAATTTCAGGAGGCTCTGTACTCACGATGTCTCACCCGTGCATCCTTGAACATCTCGTTCTTGTGTCTGCCATTTGAAAGTCACAGAAACTGGTAGAGTCTGACCGGGGGCTATATTAGTCTGTAGTCCTGACTCCCTCACCTGCTGAACCACCACGGCAGGGCTGTGCCTCTGGCTCACCAGGCTAACTCTGAGCATGAGAAAAGTAACCAATGAGAATCAAATTTTACAGGCCTGCTCAGCAGAATTTCACCTTTTAATGGGATAAGCAAAATTCCGCCATGGACCAGTCATAAGCAATAAGCCATTTGCAAGTTAAATTTGAATAAAATCTGGAACGCCGACTTAATCTAATGCTTTGCATGTTTTAACTTTGCATTCTCCCGACCAAAGAGACTGTTACTATATCACATGATTCGGGGCAAGCCTTATGCTAGCAACCCCCAGCTCCGGCATGGCCTGGTGTCTTTGTGCCACTCTCTCCCATCATGAACAATGTATTGAAGCTGGGAGTCTCTTACGTAACTATGCAAGAGCTTGCCCAAATCCTGTAATTAGCAACAGTGTCTTTGGTCTGGAGAATTCAAAGTTAAAATGCACAAAGCATTCTGATGAGCAAGTCATGAGTGTACCAGATGTTTTTTTGTAAATTTATATCTCAAAGGGTATAGGTGTATGGCTTATTAACATTGCATGACATTGTGGATGATATCCTATTTTTGCTAAGCAGGTATCTTCTGGGTTTTTTGCAGCTCTTTGATGTTAATCCCAGGACATCCACTGGCCAGCCTGCACTCCTGCACAAAAAAGCCATTGGGTCACAATTCCGGGTCATTCATGACAATGATCCAACATTTCAGCAAGTAAAATTGGCCTGTCCCTTCAGTGCCTTACTAAACGGACAGATAGAAGACCCGGTAGTCCTTTTAACCTAGTGCGAATATAAACAAATTTGACAAAACAATACATTTTACAGCAGAAAGTGGTCCAAAGTTGGAATGGGTTCAAGTACATTTACACCACTTATATTTATTGTTGATGCCACTACATTCACTTTCTACGAAAAGTATGAATGAGGCTTTGTCAAGCAATATCTGTTGACCCATGAGCTCCTTGCGCTACCAAAAGAGGGCGCCCTTTTACCTAACAACGACGTCCCATGGGCGGGACATTTCGCTGGTTGACGCGCACCGTTCCTTGTGTGTGACGCACGTACACCAGGGGATTTGTTCTATTTACACACAGTGGCCGCCCTTCGGGGCAAATAAATTGCAGTCAGGCAAGATGGCGTCGGTCGGTCACCCCCAACTGTACTTCCTTTGCCGGTGATGAGGGGGTGCTTGTGAACAGAGCGGATAGCCCTTTGTAGTTTTGTATTTCTGCTCCCAAATCAACTTACCGGACATTCTTGATCCATTTATCAGACTGCAGGTTGGTGACCGGTATAGCCAAGATGTTGCCAAATATGTGTCCTTCAACAAGGTCAGGTAACATGGTTGGCTGGTGAACTTCAAAGCTGTCTGAACCTGGAATACGGATAGTGAAGCAAAACATGGACATGATGGAATGGAAAAAACATTCAAATCTTGATCAGCAATTTTGTCAAGTCCGTAGCAGTGCAGCCCATCAGGGACACAGCGCAAAGTTGTCAGGTCAGCAGTAGCACTGAGAAATGTGTTTGGCATAGTTCAGTTGAACAGGTTGTCACCTGACGTGAAACTAGACTTGCGGTGTGACTTGTATGTGTTTGATTTGTTATCATTTGCGGAGACTTGTGATAACCAGCGATTGAGTTTTGATGACTTACATTGTACATTGTATGATAAGTTGTGATTGGCTTGACTGTAACACAAAGTACCGATATAAATTAGTAAATAACAATTTAAGAAAAATCTAATTAACAAGTTATGATGGATGAGTCCGTGTCAAGAGGCACTATATAATAATAATTTGGTTTTTTTTTCATTCATTTGTTTTTTATTCCAACTTGGAACACACCCCTTAACCCCAAGGAGGGTTACTTCAACATTTTAAACCTGAATATTTAAATATAATGGAGTCTTATATAGCGCACGTATCTGCCAACAATTAGGTACTCAAGGCGCTAATACATATGAATTTATTTTAAAGACCCATTTTATGTAGCACCTTATTATGTGCTACGGCGCATTAAGCAACACTGCTAGAAACACCGGGGCAAACCCCTTCTCTTAGCGACAAGCGTTACTTGGTTCTTTTACGTGCATTACACAACTGTCATAATTAATTTCTTTAAAACTTTTACACAATAGGCTGTCTAAATATATTTTAATGGCTGCTGTGAGGTAACAGCACACATGGCAGTCTTACAAACATGTACTTTTATAAAACTGCATGATGGTGCAAACTTACCGGCTGATTTAAAACTGCATTTTACAACCTTGAAAACACAAAGCACACATAAGAACACAAATTTACAAACTGAAATCTCCTGAGACATTAAAAAAAAAACACAAACTGAATGTCATTTACAGCAAATTGACAGGTCTAGGACGTCGGGTAAAAAAAGTAAGTAGCTTGAGGAACACATCATGCATGCATTAAATTATTCAACTCACATTTTTGCCATAAATTTGGTGATTATTGTGCAAGCAATTTTGACAGACCAACAAAAATAACATTGAGTGGCGATTCAATAAATAAACAAAAACTTTGCCTGCCTACCTGCGTTTGTTTTGCTCTTAATCTGATGTAAACAGTGTGAATCCCAGCTGATAGCGAAACACTAAACCTACAAAGAAACACATTAGAATATTTAAAAATGGAACAGACATGTGGCCCTATGGATGTTCTGTGCAAAAAAATAATGTTAAGAGAAGATAATCAAGTAGACTGTTTAAAAGAACTTAGACCAAAACCTTTAGAAAATGAGTATTCTAATTATAAAATACGTAATGGCATGTACTTTATGATATGTGCACTGTGGCATATGAAGACACATCCATTATACTGAGCTGGCCATTAATTAGAGGCTGTAGACAAAAGAGAACATTAAGTGCAACTTTCCTCATCAACATAGATGCACAAATTAGAAATTACTTTCTTTTAGTTCTGGTAGATTTTTACAATACATGTACTTATCTCTTATACAAGCTTAATTTGTCCATTACCATGACAGTTTGGGTGTAAAACAGTACAATTAAAGTAAAAATGTAGATCTCCCTAGATATCTGAATTTTGTAACAATTAAATGGTCACATTAAACAAAACACATATTGGATGAAAACTACTCACCAGTACTGCTCCCGTCTATAGACATCAGCAGCTATGAACATGTCAGCAACAAAGATTGTGTGTACACCTGTATGAAAGGCAATCGAGAGCAGAATTCAAAAACAAGTCTATTTAGGCTGTGCATTAGACTTGGTGCCAAGTCGCCTAATGTTCACGTACGTACGGTACCGGTTACTAATTCCACGCACGCAAAATATCACTGCAATGCGCGCAGCCTGGTTCCCAGACCAAATGATGCTGACTATTAATTTTCAATAACGGTCTTGGCGAAAATGTTTTCTATTTTGTACACAACATATGGGAGTATTTTGAATCGTTGGCGAATTCTATGCGAGCATTCTGATTGGTTCAGATTCCAGCGTGTATTCTAGGCCGCTACGGAAGGTCATTCTCATTACTTCGAGGGTTTGTGCTTTGTGTTGTGTAACATTCCAAATTTTGTTATAGGGCATGCACGACTCAAATAAATCAAATATATTGATCACAATGATACATTTATTTTTATACACAATTGACCTAGCTGAGTGATTTGGCCGTTAAACGTCACCCGATCTGCAAACATGTCCCGACGTATTGAGAAGAACTCCCCATGTAACGGAATGAACGAATCCTCATTTGCATTGCGGTGCACCATTGGATCTCATCGCAAAAATGCACTGCATATGTATTGTGGTGCAAACATATATGAATAACGGTGCGAGAACGTAACCTTCAAGTCGTTAGATATGTCGCAACCCAGCCGATTAGTACTAGTCTTATACCAGCCGCGCCGATGGAGTTCGACTGAAGTTCTCAGACAAAATACGACTATCTAACGACTTGTCATCAAGTCTAGCCGTGCATATAGGCATTTCTGGAGTACTTTTCTAAGGTATCATTTGGTCCTGATTAAAGGCATGTAGAAACATTAGGCGACAAGTGCCGCAAAAATGCACAATAAATTCAAACACCATTGCAATGTACAGTAAAGGGTTCCCTTCGAATAATATGCCAGCAAATACATGTATGTCTCCAATCACGTAAAAAATATCTATTGTGAGGACCGAAAGTAGTCTTTAAATGTACTTGGGTTCATTTTTAAGCTTTGAGAATTGTTTCATTTGAAGCATCAAAATTGCACAAAATCTTCAAAGTTTCAACTCGTGAAGTTTCAGCTCATACAGTGGACTATACATTATGAGAAACATTTATGCACAATTTCGGGGTCTTGTAAATAGTTTCCATTGCCAACGTACATAAAAAAAAGCCTTCAATGATTTCTTTTCTTACAAACGCTTTCATTTTAATGCAATATTTAACAGGGTATTTGATACTATCCCTATCTTCACTCTGACCAATGTTTTTCCATTAAATTGGTTGGTCCGTTTCTGGGGTATTTTTCCTACCTGCCATTAAGTAGGACCAAATGATGTACCTTAGAAAAATTTGGGTAAACGTTCTTATTTTTATTGTTCCCAGTGACTTGGATCCATACAACAAAGCTGCAAATATTTCAAAGCAAATTTACGCGCTAAGCATCAGATGAGAACCAGTCCTATTCAACATAGCATATTGCATTTTAGTTTTGCTTGTTACTTATTCACAGATTTATAAGCAGCTTATAAATCTGTGAATAAGTTGCTTCCTGAAATTATCACAAGACTGACAGTCTAATTTTCCTGCTCAGTTTCTGACTTTTTAGAAACAACATGAAAATCATAAAAGTCTGGAATCTACTCACCTAGACACTGGACAATGACGTTCTCATCTTTGCCATTCACGGCAAATTCACCAACAAGCCAGCCCTGCCAGAATTCAAATATGAAACAAAAGGAAGAGATAGTCACCTCATTCAATTAGGGGCAATTTTAGACAACAATAATAAAGTGCCCTGGAAAGGGCACACTATGCCCATCATGGCTCTATAATGAAGTTGCAGCCGCACCAACTACCGCTAAAGCTTAAAGTCAGACACACTTTTACAGATAAACTATATGTAGATGCCTTTAATTATCATTTCACACACTTGCATACCGTACGATCTAACAAAGTTAGGCAACATGTAAGTAAAACAATAATGTTGGATCTTACTTTAAAATATTACTAAAATAAAGGAAACACAAGCTTTCTTGCCAAAAAAATAACAAGGAAAGGCTGATTTGTTTCTAAACATTGCTAAAAGTGAACGTACATGTGTTTTTGAAGTTGGTATGAAAAGAGACTTTTTACTGATAAAACCTATATCTGTTGACTGAATCTTGCTGATAATAGTGTAATACTGTTCAGTATATTACAAATGAGAAAACATTACCTTGTGGGTCAGTGGTAGTTTCACTATACTTATCGAGGAACAAAGAAATTATGAAAATCGTCTTCAGAGCTGGATATATAATAAAAAGGCAGGTCATGTAAGCGTCAAAGTGCTCTTTTTTACAAAGTATTGTGGTAAAATGCTTAAAATAACATGTATAATTACATGTACATACAATTTCCTTTTAATCAAAGGGTCAACTTATGTCTACGTACAATAAAAAATGATTTATAAACAGTGTCAAAATAACATTCTCACTTTAGACCCATTTTGTGATTTCTTTAGTAAACGTATGAACAAGCAAAGATGGAACCCTCCTCATCAAAACAGCATGTAGCCAAACAAAGATGGCAGCCTTTACAACAAAATACAGAATGTGGAGTGCCATGGCCTAATGGTCTGGAGCACTGAATTCATGGTCTACGGGTAATTCTCCAGGTTGTGGGTTCGAGTCCAGCCTGGGGTAAATTGGGCACCTGTGAGGGCAGATATGGTTATTGTGATTGATTTTATCTGCTTTGCGCCAAAATGGCAGCATCCTGATGTATACTCTCCAGGGAGCTGAGATGGTATTTGGAATGTTTAATTGGTCCTATGAACAGGGTAACAATGATTAGCGCCTTAAGCACCAACACTGGTGGATATGTGCACTTTATAAATATACATGGTTAGCATGAGAAAAATGTAACGGTTAAAGGTGCATCATGTGCATCTTTCATGAGGGATCAGGTATCTTTCATCATTCTTTGGGATCTCTCTTTGGGGACAAATCTTGGGATATCTTTCTTGGGAATCTTTTGGAGGGATCTTTATAATTGGATATTTCACTTAGATCTTTCTTGGGGGATCTTTCTTGGGTAATCTTTCTTGGGGAGCTTTCTTGGGGATCCCTTTTGGGGAATGTGTGTAACTCTAGCCTTCCCGCTGTCTGGGAGTCTGCAAGTTTCTCTTGAAGTCTAGAATTATCCCTTCAAGTCACTGGGTATCTCTTGATGTCCTGAAGTACCTCTTGAAACTTGAAGGATTTATTGAAGTCTTGAAGAATCTCTTGAGGTCTTGAAGTGTCCCTTGTATAGTCTTGAAGTACATCTTGAATTCTTGCAGTATCTCTTGCGGGCATTACAGTATTTCTTGAAATGTTGAAGTCTTGAAGTATCTCCTGAAATTTTGATGTGTCGTCAAGTCTTGGAGGTTTAAAGTATCTCATGAAGTCTTCAAGTATATCTTGAACTAATGAAGTGTCAAGTCGTGAAGTATCTCTTGATGTCATTAAAATGTCTTGAAGTATGTGTGTTGAAGTTTTGAAGTATCTATTGAATAGTGGAAGGGCCTCTCAAAGTAATGTATCTCTAAGTCATGAAATAATCTCTTGAAGACGTGAAGTATCACTTTAAGCCTCGAAGAATATCTATAACACTTAAAGTCAAATTATTTTGAGCCATCTTCCAGTATTGAAGAACATCTTGAAGTCAGGAAGTACCATTTGAGGTCTTTACTATCTCATGCAGTCATGGAATATCTCTCTAAGTCTTGAAGTATCTATTGAAGACTTGGAGGTTTGAACTATCACATGAAATATAGAAGTTTTGAAGTATATATTTAAGTCATGAAGTATTTCATAAAGCCAACAAGTATCTCTTGAAATGTTGAAGTCTTGAAGTAGCTCTTGAAATCATGAAGCATCTCTTGAAGTCTTGAAGTATCTCTTGCAGTCATAATTATTTCAAGAAGTCTTGAAGTATCTTCTGAAGACTTGACGGTTTGAAGAATTAAGTCACACAGTATCTGCTGACGTCATAGAAGTATTTCTTGAAGTCTTGAAATCTTTAAGTATCTCTTGACGTCGTGCAACATCTATTTAAGTCTTGAAGTATCTCTTGAAGTCATAGAGTATCTATTTATGTCTTGAAGTGTCTCTTGAAGTCATAGGGTATTTTTTTGCACTCCTGAAGTAACTCTTGAAACTTTGCAGTATATATTGAAGTCTTGAGGAACCTCTTGATGTCTTTGATCTCTTTGGGTGTTGAAGTGTCTTTCGATGTATTTACGTCTTGAAGTATCAAATAGTTTTGAAGCATCATGTCATGAAGTATCTCTTGAAATCTGTAAGTATCTGTTAAATCATGAATTTGCTTGAAGTGTCGAAGCCTTGAAGTATCTCTTGAAGTCCTGAAGAGATACTTCAAATCTCTAGAAGTCATGAGGTATCTTCTGAAGTATTAAATTCTTGAAGTTTCTCTTATGTCTTGTAGTATATATTGCAGTCTCAAAGAATATGTTGAAGTCTTGCAGTATCCATTGACATCTTGGAGTGTTGAAGCATATCTCCAATGAAACATGTGTCAGGTCTCTAAAGTATCTGTTGTAGTCTTGAAGTATCTTTTGACACCATGAAGTATTGCTTGAAGTCATGAAGTGTCTGTTGAAGTTTTGAAGTATGTCGTGAAGTATCTCTTGAAGTCATGTAATACCTCTTACAGTCATAGAGGGTTATCTTATTTGAGGTTTCTTGGGGCATCTTTCTTGGAGAATCTTGCCATCTTACTGTCTAGCAAATTTGCCGTTCCAGCAACATTGCTGTCTTGTCTTTCCATCTTGCTGCCTGCCTATCTCTCATAAGGCTTGATGTATCTATTGGAGTGTCTCTTTGAGTGTCTCTCACTGTCTTGCCATCTTTTCATTTTATCGTCTTGCTATCTTGCCATCTTGCAGTCTTGTCATCTTGCCACATAGTTATATTTTTGAAGTCTTAAAGTCGAATTATCTCTCAAAAGTCTTGATTTGTCTCTTAGAGAGTCTCATGAAGTGTCTTTTAGAGAGTTTCTGGGAGTCTGTCTTGGACTTGAGTTGGAGTGTCTCTCTGGGTGTCTGAGTGTTTCTTGGGGTGTCTCCTAGGGTTTCGCTTTGAGCGTCCCTTGAATTGTCCATTGAAGTGACCATTGAAGTGTTTCTTGAAGTCGCTTGAAGTGTCCCTTTAAGTTCTCTTGAAGTGACTCTTCAGGTCTCTCTTGAAATATCTTTCAGTCTATCTTGAAATGTCTCTTGGAGATTTCTTGAAGTGTATCTTGAAGAATTTCTTGAAGTGTCTCTTAAGTTATCTAAAAGTGTTATTTCAAGTCTCTCTTGGAATCGCTATTGAAGTGTCTCTTGACGACTCTCTGGAAGGGTCTATTTAAGTGTTCTGAAACTGTCTCTTGAAGACTCTCTTGAAGTGTCTGTTAAAGATTTCTCTTGAAATATCTCTTTAAGTGTTTTTTGGAGTGTACCTTGAAGATTCTCTTAAAGACTCGTTTGCAGACTCTTGAAGACTCTCTTGAAGTGTCTCATGAAGTGTCTTTTAGAGAATTTCTGGGAGTTTACCTTGAACTTTGAGTTGGAGTGTCTCTTGGGGTGTCTTTGGTTGTAACTCAGGTGTCTCTTGGAGTGTTCCTTGAATTGTCCATTGAAGTGACCTTTGAAGTGTCTTTTGAAGTGATTTTTTTCAAGTGTCTCTTGAACATCTCTTAAAATCTCTCTTAAAGTGTCTATTATGAAGACTTATGAAGACTCTCGAACTGTCTTTCGAAGACTTATGAAATCTCTCTTGAAATTTCTCTTGAAGTCTCTCCTGAAGTGTCTCTTGACGATTCTCTAGAAGTGTCTCTTCAAGACTCTCTTGAAGTGTCTCTTGAAGACTCTCATGAAGTGTCTTAAAGTTATCTTGAAGTGTCTCTTGAAATCTCTCTTGAAGTCTCTCTTAAACTCTTTTGTGATGTCTCTCTTGAAGTGTCTCTTGACGATTCTCTAGAAGAGTCGTCTGAAGATTTCATGAAGTGTCTCTTCAAGTTTTTCTTGAAATATCTCTTTTAAGCGTCTTTTGAAGTGTCTCTTGAAGGTTTCTTGAGTGTATCTTGAAGACTCTCTTAAAGACTATTTTGAAGACTCTTTTGAAGTGTCTCTTGAAGACTCTCTTGAAGTGCCTCATGAAGTGTCTTTTAGAGAATTTCTAGGAGTTTGTCTTGAACTTTGAGTTGGAGTGTCTCTTGGGGTGTCTTTGGTTGTAACTTGTCCATTGAAGTGACCCTTGAAGTGTCTCTTGAAGTCTCTTTTTAAGTGTTCCTTTAAGTTCTCTTGAAGTAATTTTTCAAGTGTCTCTTGAATATCTCTTTAAATCTCTCTTGAAGTATCTCTTTGATTGTTTGAAGTGTATCTTGAAGACACATTTGAAGACTCTCTTGAAGACTCATGAAGTGTCTTTTAAGTTATCTTGAAGTGTCTCTTCAGGTCTCTCTTGAAATCGCTCTTGAAGTCTGTTTTGAAATCTCTATAGAAGTCTCACTTGTAGTCTCTTGGCGATACTCTAGAAATGTATCTTAAAGACTCTGATGAAGTGTCTCTTGAAAACTGTTTTGAAGTGTCTGTTAAAGATCTCAGGAAGTGTCTCTTCCAGTTTCTCTTGAAACATCTCTTTAAGTGTCTTTTGAAATGTCTCTTAAAGGTATCTCGGAGTGTATC